CGCCCGCCCTCTCGCGCCGCCCAACAACAGCCCGCGGCCCGTCTCCCCAAGATCACGCACAAGACAGTCGAGAGGAGACAGACAGCGAGGCACGCCCCCCCCTTTTTCGCGCGCCCTCGCCGACCCGCTCCTCCTCCCTTTCCCCCCTTCCAGGCGCGCCCGTGCTGGGCGAGCGGGTGCAGAAGAGAGAGAGAATGGAGGAGAGGGATGAGAAAAGAGGGAGAGGAGAGAGAGAGAGAGGAGAGAGGGAGAAGAGAGAGAGGAGAGAGGCGAGAGAGAGAGATTAGAGAACAGAAAAAGAAGAGAGAGGTGGGAGAGAAGAGAAAGAAGAGAGTGCGCCCGTGTACTCGAGAGTCCTACCCAATACCCGAGGTCATCCGAGATTCGCCGAGATCACAGGTGCAGTGCGTGAGCGCCGAGACGTCGAGCTGCAACGGCATCATCTTCGACGTGCTGCAGCGTATCGTCACAGCGGAGGAGGGCCGAGAGCAGGACGGCTCGCCGCTGCTCAAGCCGACGGCAGAGCCGGCGCGAGATCGCCGAGATCCAGCCTGACAGCCGCTCCTTGGTTCTCCTCTCTCCTCGCCGAATGGCGCTTGCTTAGCCTCGCTGAACCCCCCCCCCCCTCCCTCCCTCCCTCCCCTCGCTTCGCCAAGGCCACGGTGCTGGCAGAGTGCGTCATGCGGATGGTCTTCCTCCGGCGCGAGATTACGCCGAGATTCCGCCGAGATTACCCGAGATTACCCGAGATAACCCGTTGGTCTTTCTCCAGCGCGAGAATACGTCGTCGCAGGGACGGCGAGATGGCGCCGCCGCCGGCCCACATCCTGCGCTCAATCGACGCTCGTCGAGAGACGGAGGGCGGGCCGGGGGAGGACGAGGGCGGGCCGGGGGAGGACCCCCTCGCGCTCGACGGCGAAAGCATCCCTTGGGAGGTGAGGCCGCTCTCGGCGAATCGTGGCCACTCTCGGCCCATCTCTCAGCAAGCCCCCGGCTCACCCCATCACGTGCCCGGGAGCCCCCTCCCC